CTAGTTATTGTTGGAACATTCAATTATTTTATAATTTTTTTTCACTTGTGTGCTTTTTTGTAAGTATGTTGATTGCATCAGTATCATAATACTTGTACTTCATCTAGGCGCTTCATGGTGTCCACAACTCACCAAGGCAAAGCTTTTCTAATTATGCTGCTCTTTTCTCTTGAGTTGAGGATATCAGATAGTGTAAAAAAAGTACTTCCTCTGTAAATTATTATGAGAGCGTTTAGATCACTACAGTGATATAAACGCTCTTATATTAGTTTACGGAGGGAGTACATGTTTTGACGAGCAGCTGTATTGCTTGCACCTTGCACTAGCTACTAGGAAAACCCATTGGTAACCCGCTAGCCGGTACAACAGAGAAGGAAGCCGGTCTCTTTTATTAGGTGGGTAAACATTGATTGTTCACAGAAGGAAAACAAACAGATGGAAGCATATATATAGGGACAAAGGTGGACGTGTCACAATACTATTGGACAGAAATTCGAGTGAGACAAAATTCGAAATTCAGTCGATTGTTCATTAGATAATCTGATAAACTTTCTTAAGGCGTCAAAGAGTTGCATCACCCTTTGTCAAACGCATGAATCTTGTCATCAGATTACTTGTGATTGTGAAACGCCTAAACTGCAGTCGTCCTCTTCCAGAGTCCTTCTCAATGGGATTCCGGGAGAGCCTATCTGGCACGGCGCGGGCCTCCGGCAGGGAGATCCGCTCCCCCCGGTTATTTGTCCTAGCCATTGACCCTATCGAGGGCATTTTCGACACCGCCACAAGACAGGGCAAGCTCCATCAGATAGGGGGCAAGGCCGCCTGCATGCGCTCCTCGCTATACGTCGATGATACAGCCATCTTTGTGGTGCCTTTTAAGGAGGACATCCAACAGTTAACCTCCATCCTGTCTGGGTTTGGTGAGCTCACGGGTCTCATAAAGCACCTGGAGAAGAGTTCGATGGTTCCTATTAGTTACAACGACATTGACCTTGATGTCGTTCTTGAGTGCTTTCCGGCCAAGCGTGCTACTTTCCCAATGTGCTACCTCGGCCTCCCGTTATCTGTGCATCGGCCCAGAAAAATCGATCTTCAACACTTAGTGGGCAAAGTTGCAGGGAAGTTGGTGCCTTGGCAGGGCCGGTTCATCACGGCGGCTGGGCGAGACAAGTTGGTTAGATCGGTGACCACCTCCCAGGCCACTTTCCATGCCACAACGATTACACTTCCTGAGAGTACTCTGAGCAATCTCAATATATTAAGAGGGCCTTCCTTTGGGCGGGAGCTGAGAAGGTCTCCGGTGGGCAATGCAAGTTCAACTGGAAGGTCGTGTGCAGACCAAAGAGCCTTGGCGTTTTAGAGTCCTCGACCTTCACTTATACGGGAGAGCTTTGCACCTGAGATGGTTATGGTATGAATGGAAGGAACCTGATAGACCATGGGTGGGCACGGGAAACCCATGCGACTCCACGAACAAAGAGCTCTTTTATGCTACGACGACTATCACCGTGGGGGACGGTCGGACGACGCGTTTATGGTACTCCCCATGGCTGGAAGGAAAGAAACCCAAGAACATTGCCCCGCTCGTGCTCGCGAGCTCATCCAACAATAACAAATCCATAAAGGAGGCCAAATTGGGTACACTGGAATAACATGGGTGATGGGCTTTCGGTTCACCATATTGCATAGTTCTGCATGCTTTGGGAGAAGCTCAGCCGGGTTGAACTTCGGGATGACCTGGCCAACGACATCAAGTGAACCTCACGACCAACGGCACATATTCGCCCGCCTCAGCCTACAAGGCGCAATTCGAAGGGGCGTTGGCAACCAACATGAATAAAGTGGTATGGGGAAACTGGGCACCCCCCAAGTACAAGTTTTTTGCGTGGCTCATCAATAAGAACATGATTTGGACGGCTGACCGGCTACAACGGCGAGGGTGGCCCAATTGCACTTTATGCCAACTCTGCAAAAGGGAGCTCGAGACGGTGGCACACATTACGTTCTAGCGTAGGTTCTCCACACGCATTTGGTATGCGGTGAGATGTTGGCTTGACAAGCCGGAGCTCGACACCGCCGACTAGGCTGGAATATCTTCGGTCCATGAGTGGTGGACAAGGATGGTCCTTGGTCGTGGACATCGGAGGAAGGCGGTGTCTTCGCTTATAATGCTAGTCTCTTGGGAGGTTTGGAAAGAGAGAAATGCGAGGGTTTTCCAGAAGAAATCCTTAATGCCTACCACGATGCTAGATAGCATCAAGGTGGAGGCCAAGAATTGGGTTTTGGCCGGGGCTAAACACTTGTTGAGGAGTCTTTCGTTTTTTCGCATTTGTTGAGGAGTAATGACCCTCATTGAGACCTTGTTTAAACTCTTTTTTTATTAATGAGATGGGACAAAGCTTTTGTCGCCGTTTAAAAAAAAACTTTTTTGCAGAAGAATATTTTCCTGATTATCTTTAGTTAATTGCAGCGGGAAGGTGTCCCTCCTATCAATAAAAAAGCATTGCACCCGCTGTACATCTTCCATCTTATTTCTGAGTGTGTTTCATGTCACATGTTCATCTTCTTTCTGGACGTATTTCATGTTTCCTACTGTGCCATCACAGCACTCGGCAACGCCAACGGCTCTGGAAATCTCATAACTAATCATTGTTCTCTTTTTAATCATTTTCACTTTTTGATTCCTTTCTTCAGTTTTTTGTCTTTATTCTCCCTTTCTTAGTGTTTACTATGTCCCTTTCTTTAGTAAATATTCAGTTGCTCGTTTTTTCTTGAGACGATTTTCTGTCTCTGTACATGTCTCACTTCACTAATTTAGTCATTCATCTAAATTTCCCTTCGCCTGTATTTAGTATGTCCCTTTTTTCGTTAGTAAACCCCTTCTTTTATCCCTTTCATTCACCTGTCTTGATTCATGGTAAATTGCTATTTCATAATGTGTTGGCATTACCTCAACCATTTTTTTGCATAACTTTTTGCTACATTTCCCCCTTTGGTTCTCATGTTTTTTAAGTTGTAGAATATCCACAGAAGCGATTAGGATCAACATCGCCCAGAGACTGACTGGTTGCACTGATGGTGGGCGAAGGACATTATCCCATTTCATTTCAATAACCAAATAAACCATGCCTCAGTTGTTGTTTTGCGATCTCTAGGTCGTTTTTATGTGTGTTGCTTGCGAACCACCCCCAACTGTTGTTGTTTGTCAAAGTCTATATCCCAGCCCACATCTCTAGTTATTGTTGGAAAATTCAATTATTTTATATATTTTTTCACTTGTGTACTTTTTTGTAAGTACGTCGATTGCATCAGTATTATAATACTTGTACTTCATCTGGGTGCTTCATGGTGTCCACAACTCACTAAGGCAAAGCTTTTCTAATTATGCTGCTCTTTTCTCTTGAGTCGAGGATATCAGATAGTGTAAAAAATACTTCCTTTGTAAACTAATATAAGAGTGTTTAGATCGATATAGTGATGTAAACACTCTCATATTAGTTTACGAAGGGAGTACATGTTTTGACGAGCAGCTGTATTGCTTGCACCTTGCACTAGCTAGCAGGAAAACCCATTGTTAACCCGCTAGCCGGTACAACAGAGAAGGAAGCCGGTCTTTTTTATTAGGTGGGTAAACATTGACTGTTCACAGAAGGAAAACAAACAGATGGAAGCATATATATAGGGATAAGGTGGACGTGACACAATACTGTTGGACAGAAATTCAAGTGAGATGGAATTCGAAATTCAGCCGATTGTTCATTAGATAATCCGATAAACTTTCTTAAGGTGTCAAAGAGCTGCATCACCCTTTGTCAAACGTGTGAATCTTGTCATCAGATTACTCGTAATTGTCAAACGCCTAAGTCTTGTCATCAGATTACTTGTGATTCTTGAGAATTCTCCCAAAGTTCATGCTGGCAAATAAAAATCACCTAGGAAACAAGCCTAAAGATTAATCCGATGACCCATAAAAAAACTCCGGCGGAGAACTTTTGTCGCGCAATTACTGCAAATCTAGCCTTCAAAGTGGTGTTTTTTGTAATTTACTTTTGATTGTTCCACGAAGGAAAACAAACAGATGGAAGCATATATAGGGATGGAGTTGACGTGTGTCACAATACTGTTGGACAAAAATTCGAGTAAGATTGAATTCGAAATTCAACCGATTGTTCCTTAGACAGTCCCACAATAAACTTTCGTATGATATGAAAGAGCTGCATCACCCTTCATCAAACCCATAAATCTTTGTCGGGCCTCTCGTGATTCTTAAGAATCCACCCTAAATTCATGCTCACAAATAAATTACAGAAGAAACAAGCCTGAAGATTAACCAGATGGCTGTAAGCCGTTGACCAAGACTGAGAAAAAAAAAGGGCCGACAGGACATTTTTTTTGTTGCATGTTTATATTCAATTGATTCGAATCAAAGCCAAAAAGTGTTTATATGCCTCCTTTTCATCATTTTTTTTTCATAGTAAGGTCTGAAATATAGGTGCATTGCACCACACAGAAGGGTGCGCGTGTATGTGTTTATAGGGGTGAGTGTATGCGCGCGTATATGAGTGCTTGTGTCTGTATTGATGTTAAAAAAAATTATATATCCTGGCTTTATTCGGCGGACCCAAATATTGCGTGCGTGCTACTCCCCTCGTACCCAAAATTTTCCTATTCCGAAGAAAACGACTTATGCTCGGCGTGCCGAGCCCACCAGCAACCATCTTTCTTCC